CCCGCCTGTGCTCTGAGCCCATGCCAAGGCTCTCTGTACTCCTGCAGTGCTAAAGCTTGGTTTAAAGCTGCACCTCAAGCTTTGCAGGAGTTGCTGGTGCAGTGGGTGGGAAGGAGCACATGAACATCACAGAATCCCAGAATGGTTTGGGTTGGAAGGGATCTTAGAGCCCATCTGGTTCCACTCCCCTGCCATGGGCTGGACACCTTCCATTACAGCAGACTGAAGACTCGTCCAGCCTGGCCTTGAACACTTCCAAGGATGAGGCAGCCACAGCTTCTCTGGGCCAACTTCCATTGCCTGGGGTGAGTCCATATCCTCTGATCACTCCAGACTCAAACTCATCACTTAGAGCACTGGTCCCACTCCTGGAGCAGCATTACTGTGGTAAATCCAGAGTGACTCCTTCAGAACATTCCAGACTTGCCTCCTGTAACATCTCTTCAGGCCTTGGCTAAACCTTGGCTAACCCCAGTTATGGGAGAGCTGGAGATGAACCAATCCTGAACCAAATCTCAAATCTGGAGTCTAGGTCGAGTCAAAGTCAAGGACAGCACAAAGCAAAACATCACATGGGCTTCAGCCACCCCTATTTCAGCCCTGTGCCATGGCAGCATTAAATCTCATTGTGCCACAGCTCCAGAAGAACACAGCTCAGGCAACATCCCTAAATCACTGCTCTGGGAAAGATTCTGCCCCATTTTGGTGTCAGGAACAGGCAGTGCCTTTGCAGGGATGGCTCAGGAAGGCTGAGCCCTGCAGGGTGTTGCTGGATTAAAGCCTCTGCACAGATAAACACCTCTGAGTAAGAGGGAGAACTTAAAACTAACAACAACACTAAAACCTAAACAAACACTAAGGAGTTGAGGGCTTTGCTTTGGAATAAAAGATTCATAAACATATTGATTGAGTCAAGGGGCTGGGACAAAGGCTGACAGCCGTGTTTATATTTTAGCATCTATCTGTGGACTTACCAGGCTTTTGCCCAAGCCAAATATTGTGTTAAGGAAGTTTATGAACTGACACATCAAGTGTGGTTGGGTCACCTCCAGCTCAGCCCACGGTTGTCTGAGCATGGTGCCACCAAAATATGTCTGCAGGAGTTACAACAGCTCAACACGTGGGCCTGGACTATCACCAGCAGGGGATGGTGCAGCCAAGCAAAGGGCAGAGATTGAGGAGGAATTCAAGACTGGGTAAAGTGAAGGGCTGTTGGCAGACCCACAGGTGTTCCTGTCCCAGCTGCTGCTGAACACACTGAATTCTCAGAGAATTTAGGAAAAACCCCAGCACTGCAGCAGCTCAGGCACTGCAGCAGTTCAGGTGTTGCCTCAGTTTTGGCATCTTGTGCCAACACCTGGGGACCACCACGGGCAAGGGGTGGGTCAGTGCTTCTGCTGAGAGCTAAATATGAGCACAGAAAGGCTCAAAAATCCACCAAGGGGTTTGTGGAAAGAGTCCTTCAACACCTAACACTTGCACAGTTCCAGCCACTGTCAGTGATCAACCTGCTGCACCCACCCTGCTGTCCCTGCTCCCAGATCCTCACAAGAGGAGCCAGAGCCCTTCCATGGTGTGCAAAGCCTCTGAACCACCAGGCATGCAAAAACCACATGGAAAACCCTCCCAAAAAATAATCCTTGGAAAGGTTTAACAGACAGACTGTAAGTAGATTCATGGGGTTTTTCTCACCCTGCCTCCCTGTTAGACCCTTCCCATGCAGCTCAGTCACCCTGGAACAGCTCCACAGCACAAGGTTCTCAGAGAACTGAACATCACACAGTCCCACAGCAGCAGGAGCTGGGGGCTTCACAGATGGGGGATTGGCTGGGAATGATGGTTTAGAGCCTGTGGAGAAGCTGAGACCCTTTGCTAAATCCCCACCGGCCTGCAGGGATGGACACAGGAGAGGCAGGGACCAGGGTGCTACAGCAATAACCCCAGAGCTGTGTTTTATATTGCCGTTGATTTGAAACATCACTTTAAAAAAAAAAAAAAGCAACAATTCCAACAGGAGAGAGAAAAGCCCAGAAGCCTTAAGTGACCATTTTGAAGCTTTTAGCTATTTAATTGTGGCTTTCCACACTCTGATAAAGAAACCAGGGCTGCTGCCACAAGAAGCCGCTCCTCCCCAAAGTGCTCTCTGCATCCCTCATTTCCAGGAGATGCTGATAAAGCATCTTGGAGAGATTTCTGAGTATCCCAGAGTGAAGGAGGACATGGAGCCCTGCAGGTGACATGGTGGCAGTCACCAAAGGTGTGACAGAGTGAGTGGGTGGGCAGGGGAGCTTCTGAACCCCACTGAAAATCATCTTTTCAGTGCTGCATTCATGCTGCATTCCTGCTGTCCCAAAGAAGGCTCACAGGAATCAATGGCTGCTCTCAACACCAGCTTCACACAAAAGCCAGTGCTGGATGGACAGATCTCCAGTCATGGAGCTCTCCATGTGTCCAAGCCTTGGGTTGGGCTCTGCACCATCCATCAAAGCCTGGCAAGGTCTCCATGGGGGAAGAACCACCCAGCTCTCCTGGAAAACACTGAACACTGTCCATTAAACTCCTCAATCACCACCAGCCTCACACCTCTGCACTGGAAATACAAGGGAACCTTTTCAGATATCCCAAAGCTGGTGGATTCCAGCTCTGCTTCCAAAACTTTTGCCTGCACTCATGGTCCCAATCCCATTTCTTCTCAGTAAGTCCTCAGCACACTTTTGGACTTGCCTCAAGGCCTTCAGCTCACTTTTGGACATGAAGCATCAGTTTCCTGCTTGCTTTAGGCACTCTTGGAGCATGAACTGTAAATCTACACAAAGCTGCATGAAACACAAGGGGTTCCCTTCAGTAAGGCACATTTCTTACTCTAACTTCTTACTCTTTGCTGGCTTTCCCTCCTCTCCAGCTCCCAGGTGTCACAGGCAAATTTTATGAAAAATCCTTTCCTTAGGATTTTTTCCTCCTGAGAAGATGAGAAGCCTCAGGAACAAAATGTAAACATTGATTATCTGCTGCTGTGGGATGTAACAGGTGCATCTGAGATTGGTCTCATGTGGTTGTTTCTAATTAATGGCCAATCACAGTCAGCTGGCTCGGACTCTGTCCGAGACACAAGCCTTTGTTATTCATTCTTTCTTTTTCTATTCTTAGCTAGCCTTCTGATGAAATCCTTTCTTCTATTCTTTTAGTATAGTTTTAATATAATATATATCATAAAATAATAAATCAAGCCTTCTGAAACATGGAGTCAGATCCTCGTCTCTTCCCTCATCCTAAGGGATGTGAACACCATCACACCCAGGTCTTTAAAACCCCACAATGCTGGAAGAAAAAAACCCCAACAGGGCAAGCAGGAAATAAAAAAGCAGGTGAGGAAAGGAAAAATAATAAAAAAAAGAGTTTTCTATGGCCCAGATGAGTTCAACCCCTGTGCTAACCATGCCAAAGCAGCAACTCCTAGTGTGATGGGGGGGATCCTGCCGTGAGTACTCACTGGTGCTTGTGCTAGTGCCGATGGTGTTGATGGTGGTGGGGACGGAGGAGGAGGAGTAGAGGGGCAGGTGGCCGTTCTCACAGGCCAGGTTTTTGTCCTGCCAGCTGGAGGCGCTGACGCTGATGCCGGAGTCCCTGGAGTTCTGCCAGCCGTTGTTGAGTTTGTCATCCGAGTTCTGTCTTTGGTGATAGTAGTGAGCCTGCCCGTAGTCCAGCGAGTCCGAGCGGCCCCGGCCCTGCCCGCCAAAGCCCCCCGACGATGACGACGATGATGAAGACGACGTGCGGTCCTCCAGGTGGTTGAGCCACATGGCCAGGGCGCTCCTGTCCTCCAGGGAGGTGGCAGGGTGGATCAAGGCGTAGGAGAGCAGCTGCCTGCTCTCCTCGATGTGCTGGTTGTGCTCGATGGAGTGCGCCAGGATTTTGGGCAAGAGTTTCATGTACTCGACTTTCGCCTCGATGTTGCCCGGCTTCAGTAAAGGCAGGTGGGCCAGCAGGAGGGAGATCACTTTGTCCTTGGATTCCTGTTGCCACTGGTTAATGATTCCTGTTGAAGGAATAAGGAGGGGGGAAAAAGGGGATTAATGAGAAATTGATGAACAGAGGTGATAAAGAAATAACCAGGTCCTGGCAGGGTAAATGCGACACGCCAAAGGGATTTGCACGTGTGTGGTTGTCACAGACATGTTTTATGAAAAATCCTTTCCTTAGGGTTTTTTCTCCTGAGAGGCCTCGGGAACAAAATGTAAACATTGATTATCTGCTGCTGTGGAATGCAACAGGTGCATCTGTGATTGGTCCATGTTGATTGTTTCTAATTAATGGCCAATCACAGTCAGCTGGCTTGTACTCTGAGAGTCAAGAGCTTTTGTTTTCATTCTCCTTCTTGCTTGCTTCTGATGAAATCCTTTCTTCTATTCTTTTAGGATAGTTTTAATATAATATGTATCATAAAATAATAAATCAAGCCTTCTAAACATGGAGTCAACATTCTCATCTCTTCCCTGGTCCTGGGACCCCTGTGAACACCACCATGTGTGGTAGCACAGCATGAGCATCTCCCTGGCAAGGGGGTCACTGTTGCATTGCACCAAATAGTTATCCAGACACGGAGTTATACAGGTCACCACCCTCCAAAACCATTGTCAGGGCAAAGCCTGCCAAACTGGATGCCAAAAGTTACCAGATGCCCCTGGTAATCACTGAAAATCACTGAAAAAACCAAACTATACCCAACTCTATGTGGGAAATGCATTTATAGCCATTTTCCAACTCTACTCTACTGCTGTTGCTCTTATTTTAATAAAATCACGATTTGGCCCAAATTTTTCATACTGTTGCAGATTACAGTAAATCTGCACTCAGTGGGTAAAGCTAACCTTTCAAAAGAACTTGGCTGGGAAATTGAAAAGGTCAAGATTCAAAGGAGATAACACAGGAGAGAACCCCAGAGGAAACTCAACCATCCATCCAATGTTGGGGCATCCACCAGCCCCAAAGGGAAAGGAGGGAAGCAGCCCCAGAGCTCCTGTTCCTCTGTTTAGATCACAGCAAACAGGAGAGGTTCCAGAAGACAAGGGAAAAAAACAAAAAAGAAACCCAGGGGTTAGATTTAAATATGCAGAAGGAAAAGTCAGGGAATTACAAACTGGTCACTTAACTGGAACTCCTGGAAAACTGATGGAACAAATAATGAAACAACCTATTTGTAAGCACTTAGGAGATAACAAGATGATAAGTGACTGCCGACACCCATTTGTCAAGAGCAATTTGATTTCCTTCTGCGACAGAGCAACTGGCCTGTGAATAGCTGGAGGAGCAGGCAGTGCTGTATATCTTGATATTCATTAGGTGCTGCTGCACATGGCTCCCTGAGCAGCACAGCAGAGAGAAAATGCTCTAATGTGGGCACACAACTCATCTGAAAAACACATGGAGGAGCTGGGGCTGCTGATTCACTGTGAGAACAGGAGGATGTGCTGGGCAAGGAGACTGTCCAGGGCCTGGCACCTCCCAGAATGGCACTGCTGATAAGGGAGATGTGATAAATGTGATCAGCATGCAGGTATTGTGCTAAGAGAGAGGAAAACACTCCAGGAAACTGGATTAAAGGTCAAACAGTGCTGAGGATTCGAAGGGGTGGCATGAAGCTGGGTCAGGGGAGGTTTAGGCTGGAGATGAGGAAAGGTTCTTAGATTCTTCCTTCCCCCGAGGGTGGTGGGGGCTCCCCAGGGGTTGGTCCCAGCACCAGCCTGCCAGAATTCCAGGGGAATTTGAACAATGCTCTCAAGCACAGGATGGAATTGGAGTGTCCTGCGCAGGGTCAGGAGCTGGACTCGATGCTCCTTGTGGGTCCCCTTCCAGCTCAGGACAATCTATGAGACTTGGAGAGATGCGGAAGAACATCTGCATGATGCAGGTGCAAACATCTGCATGAAGCAGGTGGGAACAAAGGGAAACACATCTGGGGAGCACGAGGTGGGCAAGAGCCTGGCTTGGGCAGCACCACCTCAGTCAGACACCCTGCTGCACAGAAAAGCTGCACCAGGCAGCCTGACCCTGGCTGAGAGGTGAGCACGGGCATGGACAAGCTGCTCTCCAACCTGCTGCTGCTCAGGGAAGTGCTGGAGTCACCATCTCTGGAGGGAATGAACAGCTGTGAGGATGTGGCCCTTGGGGACAGGGGTCAGTGGTGGCCTTGGCAGTGCTGGGGGAATGGTTGAACTCAGTGATCCTGCAGGGCTTTTCCAACCTAAACAATTCTATGATTCTCTGACTTGAACTGCAGCAAAGATGAATGAGGCTGGACATGATGGAAATGCCTTCTGTAAGGCAGGGTGGCCCAGGGCACTGTGAGATCTCCATCACCAGAGGTTTCTCTGAAGATACAAACTCCAAACACCTACCAAATCTACCCAGACCAGCCACATGACACTTCCCAGCCCCAGGGCAGTCTCTCCTCCAGTGCTGACCAAACCCCTCTGTAAAACCTTCAAATATTCAGCCATGCACTCCTGCTACAGAAGCCACAACTGAGCTGTGTGGTGGTGAACACACCCTCCTGCTTGCTTTAAATACACTGCCCAAAGCTTCATCAGGTGAAATGCTGAAAAAATCCCCCAAAACTTTATGTTCTCTCTCCCTGTTGCTGTCTTCAATCCATTCCACACAGGAAGCTGCTCTAAATCACTGATTATCCCTACAGGCTCTGTGTGGTTTTGAGCTAGGGTAACTAATCCATACCACTGAAATGCAGATCTGGATCTCCATCTGTAGGATCATTCATCAGGTTTGCTCTTGGGAAAGCACAAGAGCAAATCAATATCCAGCTCAGGATATTCTGTGACCCAGGAACTGGACTCTACGATCCATGGGTCCCCTTCCCCTCAGGATATTCCATGATTCTATGATTCTGCATGACCCATGTTGCCAGCCAGCAGCTAACCCAACCCTCCCACCATCTCTGACCCAGAAAAGGGCTGTTAGAGCAGCAACTTCTCCCACTTAGGGCCAAACTCTGTCCATCAGTTCCTGACACGACGGTGGCGGCGAGCAGCACTCACCCCTCCACATTCACCCTCCCAGCTCCAAGGCATGCAACTGTTTTAATAGGAAGCCACTAGATGGCTTGCTGGAAACACTGGAGACTCTCCCTGGAACTTTCTGCACTGGTATTTACTTCTGCAGAGCTCCCCCTCCTCCAGAGCCACTTCCTGAGCCAGCCCAGCGTGCCGGAGCCGTGCTGTGCCCAAAGGAGCAAGGGACACGACGTGGCACAGCTCTGGGGGAGAAGGAACTGCTGTTTGCAGCACAGGGGGCTTCTGGTGCTCTGGGTGTGCTCCTGTGCCCCTGGGAATGCTGTGAGGTTGTTTTGGTGCTAAAAGAATGGGATCTGGGAGAGCAACACTCAGCACAAGTGATGCTGTAAAGGTACACGAGTGTAGCGGGACTCAAGGCTCACCAGTGCATATCCATATTTTCCATATGCAGATGTCCCTGCTCCAGGCAAGGCTTCCTGTTGGGATGAATGTGATTTATCTGTCCCCTCTCTCTTAGTCAGCTGCCTGATGAGCTGAAAACATGTCTTATTTTCTCCCATCCTCCTGCAGAGAGGGATGTCACACCCCGGTATTTTATCATCCTTCTCGTGGTGGTTCAGCAGCACTTTCAGGCTGGCACAGCCAAAGCCCAGCCTGGCACCAGCTGGGATTCTGTAGCAGCTCAGATAAACTGAGAAATCAAAGATCATTAAAAAAAGGCCTGCAATGCGCTGCTCAAAGAAGTTGGTGCCACTTAAAACAGGAGGAAAATACACATAGAAAAAGCAGAGTCTGGTGTAAACTGGGTGTAGGAGAGGAGGAGGAGGAGGAGGGAGGCAGGTGGCCATGGCTGGGCTCCTCCTCCTCCTCACATGAAGGTCCCCACTGGGGAAACACAGGATGGCGCCAGAGCTGCTTCTTGGGAACTCTGCCTGGGACCTCCAAGAGATCTGGGGGTTTAAAGCATAGCCCCAAAAGGATGGAGCACTGACCCAGAAGCCTGTGGCTGATGAAGGGCTGGGTGCCCTGGCCCAGGCAGGAGCTGGTCTCCTTCTCAGCCAGCAGCAGGATGTGCACAATTAAACAAAAATGGGAAATAATTAGATCTGAAAGAGGTTTGGCTCTCTCTGAGATGGGGCAGAAGGTCAGGCTTAATCCTATCTGCCAGAAAACAGAGGGATCTGGAGAGGGCAGTGCAGGAGAGGGAAGCTGGAGCTGCCTGTGGGCAGGGGGAGAGGGGCTGGCAACACCCCAGGGCACAGGAGCCCCCCTGCAGCCCTCACCTGCTCCCATGCACCGCTGGCCATCTGGGATATCTCACCCTTCACTGCCAGAACAAACCCTCTGGGGCAGCTGGGATTGGGATGTGCTTTGGGATCCCACATCCCAGGGTCCTGACACGGTACCTGTGGTGGGTCACAGGCACTGATCTCATGGCAGCCTCATCAGCTCCCTGGGTGCTGCTGCAGGTGCTTCCCATCACAGGATTTCACCGCTCTGTGCAATGTCACTGGCAAATCTGAGCACAGAGAGAGCCCCAAAGTCAGTCCCCCCCCTTGCTGCCTTGAAATCCCCAAAATCCCTGTCCTGCCATTGAACTGCCCTCTCCTTTGGGAGATGAGGTAAGCTAACAACTGACCAGCCCTGAACTGGGAAGGGATGGGAGCTGCTGGTAACCCTGAAGCAGAAAATCCCAGTTTTTATTATGGGACATTTTCTTGGATGAGAAGCTGAATGAAGGTGGGATGTGAAACTACCTTCTACTGAAGGATTACTTAACTGACAGAATTTTGCTGCTAGACAGCCCAGCTGATACATGTGCAGCATGCCTGGATAAATCAGCTCCAAATATAGCTGGGTCCTGCTTCCAAGACTGAAACCTGTGCTTGTGCTATGAATAGGACCAACACCATCCCCAAAACTGGGGCTTCTGGCTGGAAAATGAAGTGAAGTTTGTAAATTTATTAAGCTATTAAGGGATTTCTCTGTCTCAAATCTGCTTAATCAC